CCTTTACTCCGGCGATCGCAAACATGGATCAGGGGGGCGTGGATTCGCGACGGGTCCCCTTCCCCTGGGAAGCCGCGGATTTCCCCTGCCGAGCGAGGCGGCACTGGCCGCACTTTGGGGAGCACGCCTCCCCCGATCCATGGATCCTCCGAGGCGGGAGCTTCTGCATGACCACCGCCCGGAGGCTCCATTCTCGGGGGATCTCGGCAGGCGGTGGCTAACTAATTTATGGATACCTCCGGGCCCCCAGGGGCCAACATATATATATATATATATATATATATACACAAGACTGCAGTGGCGCTTCGCGCCATGCACCTTGGTCCTTGAAGTTTGGAATGCAGGCGGAATGGCAGGAATATCTCTCTCTCTCTCTATATATATATATATATATATTATTTATCTGAATCCACATCCGCCGCCCGCTGGGGCACCAGGGCGTCGGTCCCCAGGCGGTGGCTCTGCACACGCCCCCGCCTCGCAGCTCTGGCGGCCGCGAAGCCGAGCCCACGGATCGCGGAGCCGTGCCTGCGCGCCCCCGCGCTCCTGCGCGCCCCCGGCGCTGCCTGCCTGGGCCCCCTTGGGGGGGCCGGTGGCCGGCAGGCTGGGGCCGGAGGAAAGGGGGGGATATTGGGCAAGGGGGGGGAATTAGGAAAGGGGGGGATTGGGAATTGGGAAGGGGGCAAGGGGGGGGAATTAGGAAAGGGGGGGATTGGGAATTGGGAAAGGGGGGGTTTGGAAAGGGGGGGAATTGGGGAAGGGGGGGTTAGGACATTTTTGCTGCATGCAGCTGGTGTCGGCCCCACCGAGGGGCCCATTCCTCGATGCATGGCCGCCTCCGGCGCCGAGGGGCGCCGGGAAAGCCAGCTACGTGAGCTGATTCTCAACCCCCCCCGTTCGCTATCCCCCCCTTTCGCCCGACCCGACAGGCCCAGCAGGAGAAGCTCCCTCTGTGTCCGCGCCTGGCGCTGTGCCCCACGGGCTGTGCGCGTGTGGGTCGGGAGCACCAATCGGGGGCAGCGATACGGGGGGGACAGGCACGGGGGGGGGGATGCATCGGCCTCCAGTCGCTCACTGATCGCCGAGAGGGCCCCGATAGCGCCAGCCTGCCCAGGAAGGTGCGGGTTCACCGTTGGAGGCCCATCGCCGATCTCTCGGCGACGTATCGCCGATTCCAGGTCGATGCATCCCCCCGTGTGCCAGTCCCCCCTATCGCTACCCCTCGACCGAAGGTGGGCACCATAAGCCTGCCACCGCCAACGGAGGTACACCATATGTGACGAACCAACAACACACACACCCATACCCATAGAGGGGTCGGATAGGGCTATGGGTGCGTGTTGTCGGATGGGGGTCCCCGCTCGAACGGGAGCGTTCCCCAGGGTCCGACAACCCGCACCCATACCCATAGCCAGTCCTCCTCCCAACGACCCCCCTATGGGCATGGGCGTGTGTTGCTCGTTCGTCAATCTGTCCTCCACCCTTCATCCCATTCATCACCAGGTGACTCTGTTGTTTTGATCTTCCAACCTCTCTCCAGTGGCTCCGCGCCGCGTGCTCTGGGTCGGCCGCGCGCGCCTCCTCGCCCGAGCTTCCTGCGTCGCGCCGCCGCGCGCGTGGCCGCGGCGCCACAGGGGTGTGGGCCGGACCCTCTGGCTGTCTTCGGAAGCGCGTCCCCTGCGGGGAGGCACGGCCAAGACGCCGGAGTGAGGGCCACCTGTGTGTTGGACGGGGCTGGGGCGAGGACAACCCGCTCCCGAGCGTTCCAGGACGCTCTCGGAGTGCTCCCGATCGCTCTGAGAAGGCCGCGGCGCCGGAGACGTCCTCCAGAGCCGCCGGGTCTCAGAGGTTCTCGAGTTATCTTCCCCCGATTTTATCCTCGTTCTGGCTTCGCCTTAGCAGGAGCTCTCTGGGCTTCGGTCGGCCTCGCCCCAACATGCTAATACTCTGTGTGCTTCGCCCCCCCCATGGGCGACGCGCACACCGAGAAATCTTCCAGTACATGCGTCGTGGCGGGCGCTTTCCCGCCACACCGCTCGGGAAACGACATACCACACGATGGGTCTACCATTAAGTCCGGCGTGTCCCTCTACAGGAGGACTAAGTCTACTATGCTACATGTTTGGGTCGGACGCGCGCCTCCAAGGAGGGTACATGCCTCTGCGCGCCCCAACTTCTAGGAGGAGCTCCCTGGGCCTCGGGCCGCGCCTCAGAGGTCCGAAGGAGGAGGAGGAGGAGGAGGAGGAGGAGGAGGAGGAGGAGGAGGAGGAGGAGGAGGAGGAGGGAAGGAGGAGGAGGAGGAGGAGGAGGAGGAGGAGGAGAAGGAGGAGGAGGAGAGGAGGAGGAGGCGGCGGAGGAAGAGGAGGAGAGGAGGAGGGGAGGAGGAGGAGGAGGAGGAGGAGGCGGAGGAGGAGAGGCGGAGGAGGAGGAGGAGGAGGTCGGAGGAGGAAGGAGGAGGAGGAGGAGGGAGGAGGAGGAGGAGGAGGAGGAGGAGGAGGAAGAAGGAGAAGGAGGAGGAGGAGGAGATGAGGAGAGTAGGAGGAGGAGGAGGAGGAGGGGAGGAGGAGGAGGGAGGAAGAGGAGGATGAGGAGGAGGAGGAGGGAGGAGGAGGAGGAGGTGGGGCTCCTCGGCCCCGTGGGTCGCGGCTCGCGGTGGCCGGCAGGCGTCCGCTCGATCCCGTCGCTGGCGCGTCCTTCTGGGCGGCTGCCGAGGGCTGCGGTCAGCAGCCCTCCGCACCGCACCGGAGCCGACGAGCTGTCGACCCGGTGGCGCGAGCCCTCAGCTCCTGGGCTTGGAGGATTTCTCCGAAGGGTTTAGGCGACCCGTCCTCCTCCTCTCTCCTCCTCCTGGTGCGGTGCGGAGGGCTACTGGCCGCAGCCCTCGGCAGCCGCCCAGAAGGACGCGCCAGCGACGAGGATCGCTGATTTGATCAAAGTGAAGGCCCATGTGGCCGAGTCGGACGATCTCTCCCCCGAAGAGCGTTTCTTTAAAATCGGAAACGACGAGGCTGATCGTTCAGCCAAGCTTGGGGCCGCTGCTCACCCCAGGTTTACCAATGAGCAGCAGACTAAGCTGGATTGGCAGCTCAAGGTGTCGCGCACAGTCTCGCGTCTGGCGGCCAAAGTTCTCGTTTCTTGGCCGCGTCTGGACCTTGCAGACGTTCCCTACATTGCGCCTCCTCGCCCTCACCGCCTTCAGGCTGAGGCGCCTGAGGGAGAGCATGTCTGGGTATGGGTCAAGTCTTTTTGGAGGTGCAATCGTTGTCTCAGATTCCGCAGGCAAGCAGCGCGTCCCTCGTGTGAGGGCTGCGCAGGAGACTTGCCCCTGGTTGCTCGTTCTGTGACTGAACGGGGACACTCTTGTCTGGCGCTCGAGTGCTCGAACGATCAGATCTCAATTATCTGCACCCGCTGCAAAGCGTTTTCGACCCTCGGACAATTTAAGCAGCTCCGCCATGAGTGCACACGCCCACTCGCAAAGGCAGCGGAGTATTGGTCCAGGGTGAAGCGAGGCTGGCATCCGAAGGAACGCATTCGGGTGGAGACAATTCCCATCAGGGAGTAATAAGGCTGGTGGCTGGCAGGGCGCTCGTCAAAAACTCCTCCTCCTCCTCCTCCCCTCCTCCTCCTCCTCCTCCTCCGCCTCCTCTCCTCTCCTCTCCTCTCCTCCCCATCCTCTCCCCTGCCTCCCCTTCTTCTTCGTCGTCGTCCTCCTCCTCCATTCCTTTCTTCCTTCTACATGATTTCTCCCTGTCGCACTCCGAGGCCAGTTTTTAGAGCGGGCCGTGCGTTTCGCTTGAGATCCCCTCACCATTTATGACCCTGAAGCTTGACAGTTGACAACAGTTTCACAGATGGAGGGCGGTTGGTTTTCAAACTGTGACTCTCGCCTTAGCGCCGCGCGCATTCGCTTTAACAGTTGCAAGAGCTTCACGGATTGAGGGGAACCCGTTTTCAAAACGTGGCTCTCGACTTAGCGCGGCGCACATTCTTTTTTTTTACAGTTGCAAGAGTATCTCGGATTGAGGGGGATCCGTTTTCAAAATTTGGCTCTCGCCTTAGCGCGGGGCACATTCGTTCTTAATAGCTGCGACCCGTTTTCAACATGTTTTTTTTCGCTTTCGCGCCGCGCGCATTTGTTTTACACATTTGCAGGGTTTTCTCGGATTGAGAGCTACCCGTTTTCAAATGTGGCTCTCCCTTTATCGCCGCGCACATTTGCTTTAACATTGCAAGAGCTTCACGGGTTGAGGGCGGTTCATTTTCAATATGTGGCTCCAGTTTTAGCGCCGCGCACATTCGTTAATACAACTTGCAAGAGTTTCGCGGGTTCCTGTGATCAAAGTACCAGAGATGGTATTTTTGACGGATTCTTGATTGTGAGGTGTTCAAGTCCCAAGGATGGCGTTCTGGCGCGACTCAGGATCGTCAAAATGCAACAGTCAGGTTGATCTGTGGCGTTGGAATCCCGAGAACGATGTTTTGGCATGCTTCAGAGTCTTCAAACGGTTGTCTTCCAACGAGGCAGCTCCCTCAATGGAAATGAAGCGTTGTAGGGGCCTGTGAAGAGGGAGCTTGGAGGGATGGTTTGTTTCAACATCGTCGATGCATCTTGGGTTTACACTGGTCCTCCTCCTCCTCCTCCTCCTCCTCCTCCTCCTCCTCTTTCTTCTTCTTCTCCTGAGGAGGAGGAGGAGGGGGAGGAGGAGGAGGAGGAGGAGGAGGAGGAGGAGGAGGAGGAGGAGGAGGAGGACAAGGATGCCTCTCTGGGGGGGGCCTCTCTGGGCTCTGGAGGATCCCCCTCGCGCCCCCCCCCCTCTCTGTGCCCGGCTCTCCGCCCCCACTCCTCTGGCCTCCCCCCTCGACCTCCCCCTCTGCCTCGTCGCGTTCGCCGTCGTCGCTTCTCGCGCGGGCGCCAGCGCCGCCGCCGCCCCCGTGCCGCCGTCGACGGCCGCCGAAGAGCCGACGCCTCCACCCCGCCCGCCGCTCGCGCTCGCGAGGCGGGCCTGCTCCCTGGCGCCGGGGAGCTCGACTCGTGGGGCGCGGACGGGCGCCGGCTGTCGGCGAAGATCGCCGCGCAGGCGTCGGCGTCGTCGTCGTCGTCGTCGTCGTCGTCGTCGTCGTCGTCGTCGTCGTCGTCGTCGTCGTCGTCGTCGTCGTCTTATTCGTCGTCGTCGTCCTCGTCCCCGTCGTCTTTGTCGTCCTCGTCGTCCGTGCTCATGCAACACACCCGGAGAGCGCCTGGAAGTTCTCAGAACTTCCAGGCGGATCGGGTGTCCAGGCCTTCAGTTTTCCAGCCGTTGGCAATCTCAACTGCATGAGCCTTGGAGCACCCCACTACACTTGACTAGACGTACGAGTGACCCATCGCCGGAGTGACTTCTGTGCGGGCTCATCGGGGTCCCCCCGATCGCTGAGCGCGATGCGATAACGGCTGATCGCGCGCTTGGATTTGGCCACCTTGCGCCCCCCTAGCCCGCGCACCAATGGTCACCCTTGCCTAGGGTTACTCTTGCGTGTAGCCGATATACGTGCTGAAGGCGTGGATGGTCGCACGCGTGTACCTGCTCTTCGCATCTCGACACAATGCTCGTGGAGGGGGAGGAGGAGGAGAAG